TGACGTAAGATTTCCGCTTTGTGCTCTGGTGCTTTGGTGTCAGCGTCGTGAGCCTTCAGCCAGTAACTAGGCACTCTCCCATTTTTCTGCTGAGTTGGCAGCACATGGCTGTTGATGGGACTACCTTCTCTATGGCTCAGTACATCGTAGTTTAGGACAGACTGAATGCTCGTTGAAGACTTGTTGATGGGATAAACCCATTCTGAGGCATTAAAGTTTGATTTGGCGTAGGGAGACTGACGGAATGTTTTTAGCAGCCTTCCCCTTCTTGCTGCCATATGGTTCCACTGCAGCTTTTATGTCATGTCTAAGAAACTAAAGTTTCTTTCCCATTCATGGAATCATGGAAGTGTTTTCCCGGTGTTACTCTTCAGGGTTAGAATGGGGTCGTCACTCCCGTGCTCAGCTGTGCTTTAAAACGGGGCGTTTTGCGCAGTTTCAGGGTGTCAGCTGGCTGCGGAGCAGGGCGGTGTGTGCCTTCCGGGCGCAGTTATGTCATGTAGATTGGAAGACAGGAATTGATTCAGAAGACAACCACTAACCACAAGGAGAAATCCTCACTGTTATCTCGATCCCTTAAGCACACGGCAGCTCAAGTAGTTGCAGATCCCCCAAAACCTCTGGGAATTGGAAAGTGGGGAGAAGTTTCCCTCGGTCGCTGGCCAAGGCTCTTGCTCTGTGAGTTTCTCAGCTGTACAAAGCTGAAGGTCAGAACTGGTAATTTACTGATCTTCAGAAATGCAGCCTAAAGACTGCTCTCCCCGTTAACGATGGCAGTTTTTCACGCAGAATGCCTTGAAGACCCTTTTCTTGGAGCCAAGAGCTAATTCTGCATGTGCGAGCTGTCTAGGCTGGTGAGGAAGCATTCTTTGAGCTTGTGTTTACAGGCTGTGTCAGACCTTGGATTGAACGGGCAGCTGTCATTCTTTGTAGGGAGTTGCCAGTTCCACTGTGGCTGGGAATATCCGAGTGGTAAGAGCCGGTTGGCCCCTGATGGCATTGTGCTGATTTATTCTACTCCTGTCCTCAGCGAGTTAGTTACTGTGTTCCTGGAGGGTGATCCTGGGGGAGTGTTTTCAGTAGCTCACTTCTCTGAATTTGGCAGAGGACTGGCTGGATTCCTACCCTCTCCAGTATGCGAGTTTTAATTTTCTTTCTTGGGAGCTGCCTAGTCTGTTGGAAGAAGAGATTTACAGGGAATCACAGCAGGCAGATATTGGCACAAGATGTGCTGGTGGTTAACTTTGAGACTGAAAACAGCCCAGTAAACTTGGTGCCTGACTTCCATGGTCTCATCAGGCTGGTGTGGCAGAGGGATGGCAGCTCTGCTTTTTGAACCAAACTGGGGACTCCTGAACCAGTGCTGCCACCAGAAGGAGCCGTTTTGATGGGCTGGGTCCTGCCTGTTGGCTTTTTGGGTGGGAAAACCCAGTTTGCCGTGCAGCTGCGGAAAGGTTTGGGCTGTCCCAGGAGCAGGTGATGGAGGGAGGGGGTGAGCGGCCGAGTGCGCCCGGGCCGCGTGCTGACAGAGCCGGCCTGGCAGTCCCGGTGAAAGCTGGCTGTGTCATCAGCTGCCTGCAGACAAGGCAGACCTCTGCAGCAATGGTATTGCTCAGCGACAGGTTAGGAAACAGAGGCAGCTCCTGCCTTAGACCTTGGGATTCCCTGCCAAAGTTACCTCAGCTGGATTTGCTTGGCCTGTGTGGCCCTGTGGGGGAACACAGTAATGATGTTTTTTTAAGACTTCCAGTTTTTCTGTGTGTATATCAACAGACTTCTGTCTCCTGTGCTGGGTTTGAGTCTCTATCTGTGGTTCTGAATCGGGTTTATCTCCGAGTGTGAGTTTCTGCAGGAGCCGTCCCACTTTCTCCCTTTGCCGGGTGGAACTCTGATTCGTGTCCTGACGCGTGATCAGAGCTGGCGAGGAGAGGGGGCTCTTGTACTGCTGCGATACCTTCTCTGCACAAGTGGGGCTGAGCTCTCCTCCCAGAGCATCGGTTACAGGCCTTGTAGCCTATGCTGCACACTCCGTTACTGTACATTTTTTCCCTCTTCCACCACAAATTCCCTTGTCAAGCAGGCTTATTTTCCGTCACTGGAAGTGTTGAGATAACAGAAGGGATTTCCTTGTTCAGTCAGCCTTCACCGGTTGATAAGCGCAAGGAAGGCGTGATGGATGGGACAGACGCCTCTGATGCACGGAGGGCGGGGTCGTAATGCCATTAAAAAAATGGCTGGACCGAAATGCTATGGAATACAAGTGATGTGTCCCTGGGAGAACTCCTTAGGGTTGCTGTACTCTGGTCAAAATAATCCCTGTTCAAAGCCATAAGGAGACATGAAGTGGATGCGGTAACTCTAACGCTGTTGCCTCGGGGAGAAATTTGGCTTAACCAGTGGGTGGGATTTTTTTTTAAATCTTGGCCGATTGAGCTTTTTCTGTTTTCTCCACTTACAGTTAAAAAGTAATTTTGCTTTCAGACCTCCTGTTCCTGCATTTTACTGACCCCAGTAAACTGCAGCGTTGGAAGTGGGTTTGTTGGGAACAGCCTGCTTTGTGGCTTTGCGTCCCTCGGTACGCTTCACGTGTTATGTACAGCAAACTCGTACAACTGCCAGCAAATTCATTATGAAACGTTAGCCCGCGCCCCGAAGGTGCCTGCCAACCCCTGAATTTATGTAAGCCTTAAATCCTGATGAAAGGAGGAAAAGGGTTACTGCTGGGTCCAGGCTGAGACGCCGAACCAACGAAGCAGTGCTTGTGGTGTTGCATGTGGAGTAGCACGCTGCACGGACCTGTGTTATCTGTGGTGGTCTCCTTTAAGGAAAAGTAAGCAGAAAGTTAATTTATTTTACATGCAAAGACAGCATTTCAAGGAGTCTCTCCTGCCAAAGAGCTGACTTGCATGCGTGGGGAAATGAAACCAGGAAGCCTCACATCTTTGCTCTGGCTGTAATGAAAAGCCCTTGTACTCCTTGCCAGGGACTTTTTAGATCCAACTTGCCGTGACTGTTTCCTGCTGCAGAGGGAAAAAAAATGTATTTAAGTGGAAGAAAACACTGGTTCTGGTAGGAGAGGCTCCTTTAGAGCATCCTGCTCCTCTTCCTGGCAGAAGCAGGGAACCTCAGACTGTGATTTCAGACTGAGACGCTGCTGCATCGCAAAATCCCACGTGGTAACCGGGCAGGGCATGGTTTGCCTTGGAACCTACGGATGGGCAACGGGGTCGTGGGGTAAACATAGCGACTTTTTGTCCAAATACTCTTATCTTTATTATGCTGCGATGTTTGTTCTCTGAGCTGGAATCCCGGGATCTGCAGGCTTGACAAGATAACGTGGAGGGGTCCGTTGCAGGTTCCTGGTTCTGGAGTTCTCAGCCAGGAGTCCTCGCAGTGCTGTCTTTGTGTGAGATCTTGGGGGGGTGAAGTGGGGGAAGGAGGTACCTTTACCAAATTAGCCAGCGCTTGGTAACAACCTCAGTTCAGGAAAACATGCTCTAAAACCCAAAAATCCGTGTGGAAGCAATGGGTAGGTACAGTGTTTTGGTTTTTTGTTGGTGCACACCCACTCCTTTCCCTCCCCAGCACCCTGGCTCGAAGCTGCTGCAGGTGCTGCTCTGAAAAACCTCCTGGCTTGGCTCGTGTTGATGAAAAGCAATTGTCTTGCTTCTGTAATTTATTTGAGAGGCTTCCTCCCCGGTAGCTGACCTTGCTGTCCCACGATCCCGTGACCGTGTCCCTGCTCAGCCGCCCCGCGTTTCGCGTTTCGGTCTGCACAAGTGTCTGACTGTCGCTTCCTTCTTCTCTCTGCTGCCCGTGGCTCCTCCCAGGGCTCACCCCTTCTCGCATTCCTTTAGGTAAGATCCTCTTCGAGGCTGTTAAGAGCATTTGTTTCGATGCCGGGCCCTGCAGATGTTGAGGGGGAAGTTGGTTAGTTAATCCTGGCCTACACTTTTGACACATTGGCAAACCTTCCGAAACCCTGTAGTTGACTTTTGTGTCGTGTCTGCAGTTAAATATCCGTGCTTACCCTCCTGTGCCTGGGAAGCTACGTTCTGGGCTGTTAAATAAGGGAAGAGAGGGCTGGCTCTGCAGGCTTCAGTTGCCCACAGCAGCCTGGTGGGGACAGCAAGTGCTTCGGAACCAGGGGTACGCTGCTTTTGCACGCTGTCGGGGTCAAATTGTCATTTAACCTTTTCCTCCTCCTTCGGGACGCTTCCGAGTAGCAGTTACTCCATCCGCCACTCGATAAGTATGCCAGCGATGAGGTAACGTACCAACACCTCTGTCCCTGGGGGGGCGGTGGGAGAGTGCCGCCGGCTCCGCCGTTCCCGCGGTTTGGGTTCCGACTGTACTAATTCCCTCCTTGAGCAGAAACACGGGGTGCCCGCGCCCGGCAGTTTGGGTGTTTCAGGGTGGTTTTTTGCCCGATCTCTCTTCGTGGTTATTGGCACCTGGTTTGGTCGTGGGCGAAGCACAGTGTCGCAGCTGGGCCAAAGTCTGACAGACGCAGCTTTTGGAGGTCCCGGAAGGGCAGGGGTGACCGGCCTCCTCGCAGCGTACGTGGTAGCGTCAAGGTGAATCCCACCTTGAACCCTGTCTCCAGCCTGGAGGCTCAGGGCCCTTCTCGGCACACCCCTGCGCCTCTGTAGGCGAGCTCCTTGCAGGAGAAACAACTGCCAGGGCTGGCTGAGGCCCTCGGAAGCCCTCTCTGTTCATCCTCATTCCAGAGCGAAGGGAGGGTATCTTATGGGTGCAAATCAGTAACTTTTGGAACAAAAGTTCCCGGGATGAAGCTAGCCAGCTGCTCGGTGCAGAGCACAACCCTGGAGTCACTCACAGGCAAAGCAGCTTGTCAGGTCACCAAACAATTGACCTGGTTTTCCTGCTGGGAGTATGAAACCCTCTGATTAATTTGTGTTTTATGAGCATTTCCTGATGCAAACGATGACTCCTGTGGTAGTAAAACTGCCCGTAGGTACAGGCACGTGGCCCTTCCCCTTCCTGCCTGTGGGATGTGGTATGGGAGACTGAAGACTTTGTTTTAAACCCTTCTCAGCTTTTCCTTTCCCTTAGTTAGGACTGCATGCTTTTCGCTGGAAGCCTTGTAAAACGAAGGGCTAGTTTCTTCTACGTGCCGCGCGTTGCTTCCCTGGCGAACGGGGATTTGTTTCCCTCCGCATTTCGGCTTGAGCAACGGGGGGGATTGCATGTGGTACAGGTGTCTGTTGGGTGTTGCACGTGGTCTGAGCGTTCCCCGGCAGAGTTTGCACGTGGGGATGTCAGCGGGCGCGCTGGGAGACGGGCGCCGAAGGCTGTGGGGCGCCGGGAGTGCTCTGGGTGCTGCTGTCACCGCCCGGGAAGGGCCAGAGAGCCTGGTCACGCGGCGCGAGGTGACGGGTCAGAACTGACTTGTCTTGATTTGTTCTTTGTGTTTGGTGTTTTGTTTTTTTTCCCCCTCTCCTTTCCTCAAGGAATTCTGCAACCTTCAAGTCGTTTGAAGATCGCGTTGGGACCATAAAGGTAAGAGTCTCGCAGGCGCGTAGTGTGGAGCCTTGTGCAGAAACTCGCATTTCTGCAGTGATTTCCTGCAGGCCCGTGTTGGGCAAGTGGCCTCGCAGGCACGTGCAGCCTTGTCAAGGTCCCCCACGGTGGCAGAGGGGAACTGGCTTGCTGCTCTCCGCCCTGGCTTCGTGTTCTCCTAACTCTCACCTCTGCTTTCAGTCCAGGGTGGTGGGCAGCAGGGAAAACAGCGCTGATGGCCTCCACTCCCCCTCGGGAGCTGGGGACAAGCCTCCACCAGACAACGCTCCTTTCTAGACCCGCGACGTGGCTTTGCACGGCTGCGCACAACTGTGCGAGCGAGCCCCCTCCCTCCCAAATCACAACCGCAACAACCTGCGAATCCAAGACGGGGCCGAGCGCCAGGCCGGAGAGATCCATCGTTCATGCACAGACACTGCTGCTGGATCTAAGTCAAATAAAGAGAATGCAAAGTTTTGTACACAAATAATATTTTACACTAAGGTTTGTAGATTAAACGTATCGCTGCTGTCCTTTTGGGAGAGCGTGTGAGGTGGAGTTTCCTCGAAGTAGCTCAGATGCCACTGGGAGAGAGAAAACCCCTTTCCCGTGTCCGAAGTGGAGCAGAGGCGTCCCCCGAGCAGCGTGAGGAGGGCAGTTGCTGGGGAAGCCGAGCACGTGGGCGTCTCAGCCCCAGCTGCTGGCTGGGTTCTTGGCGCTGTGCAGGCCGTGCGGCGACTCCCTGAGCTCCCAGGCTTCTCCCGTTACTGTTTTCCTTGGCTCTCCTTGGAGTAGTCTGGTAAGGGGGGGTGGTAAACAAGTTGTTGTGGGTTTTTTTTTTTTTTCTGGGCTCCCAAAAGGGAAACTTCACTCAGCAGCTGCCTCGTTGTTACACTAATGCTCTAGCTTTAACGAAACTAAAATCTTTATTTTTCAATGCAATGAACTTTAAAGAAATAAAGCTTAAAACAAACCAACAGCTTCGGCATCGTACTAGGGAAGTGCTCCCTTGGACTCGGAATGGCAAGCTTCACATCCCCTTACGCTTGGCTCGTTCCTGACTTGTGTTTCCTAGGGAGGAGGCGGCAAGGGTGTCAGAGCTGGAGGTCGAGCGCCGCAGTCTCGCGTCTCGCGGGGGTAGCGACACGCTCAGGAGCCGGTTTTGCGTTAAGGTCAGTGGTGCGCTCCGTTTCCCGAGCGTGTGAGACCTGCTTCTGCCTTCTGGGTCGATGCTCTCGGAGGAGGACTCTCCGCTGGCGACAGGGGCGGAGTGAAGAGGCCGAAGCGGTGTGGCCGCTGCGTTGGGGGGATTCTGCCATCGGCGGGCTCCTCCTCCGGCACCTCTGGCAGGGTCCTGGAGCCAGCTCCTCTGGAAGCTGGATGTTTTGCTCTTTTCCTGTCTCACTTCATCACTCAGGCCTGAGAAGTTCTGAGGGTTCTAGAGGCCTGAACTTGTTCTGGGCGAGCTGCCTCCGCGTAGAAGTGCCTGGAGCGAGCAATTCTGTGCCTTAGTGGCGAGGTGGGACTTACTCAGGCCTTTAGACTTGCTAACGTACGTACCTGGGTAGTTGTAGTGGTTTTGTCACCCTGGAGGGACCGAACTGTCTCTGACCCTTCGTTAGGGAAGCAAGTTTTGACACTTCCCTGCTGATTAATCTCCATTTCCCCGCTCCCATCCCTCTGGGGACACCGGCTGGAATAGGAGGCAGAGGTGCTGGGTGTGGGTTACCGTCGCTCCTTGTTTGACTGGAACCGGCCTTGAAACAGCGGGTGAAACAGGGATTGCTGCAGCTGGGGTATGGAACTGCTCCTCCTTACGGATACGGACTGAGGAAGCTCCTCAATAAAGCATTCCCTCTGGAGAAAACGGGGTGCGTGCTCTTGCCGTGGTGTGTCTGACGGTACCGAAGGCCGCGTGTGGGTGCGTGTTCGTCGAGCAGATTCCGGCTGCCTGCAGCCGTGAGAATGCCGGAGTAGTCCGTCCTGTCCCGCTGGCTCGTTCGTCCGTCGGCGCTCCGGATGCTTCTCTTGGGGGTGCGCTGAATGTTTACAGTCTGATGTGTTGAATGGGGGGGCTTTTCCCAAGGGCAGGGAGTGACAGGACCAGGGGTGATGGGTTTAAATGGAAAGAGGGAGATGGGACATCAGGAAGGAATTCTTCCCGCAGAGGGTGGGAGCACTGGGACAGGTTCCCAGAGAAGCTGTGGATGCCCCATCCCTGGGAGTGTCCAAGGCCAGGCTGGATGAGGCTTGGAGCAACCTGGGCTATGGAAGGTGTCCCTGCCCGTGGCAGGGGGCGGCACTGGGTGGGCTTTGAGGTTTTTTCCCACCCAAACCATTCCTTGGCTTTGTGTTTCCTTTCCAAGATGCCAGACACCAGCGGGTTCCCTGTACCTGTGCTCAGCTGGGGAGCTGGCAGCCCGCGCTCGTCCTCCGAGCACCATCGCGTCGCTCCCTTTTTGGTGACTTCTTTCTCCCGTTGCTTCTTTTAAATGAAACATCCCGGTATTGAATCTATGCTAACGAGGCCGGTGCAAGACCCGCCGGATCTGGGGTCTTTGGGAGG